CCCCCCTTCCTGTCTTCTTTTCTGAATCCTACACTGCCCAAGCCTGCCTGTGGCAGAATACCTTCTCTGTTACCATTAATCCCAACCTTTTTTGCACTAGCAGCCACTGTCACATAGTTTAAGAGGGCAGGGAATTTATTTAATGATCTCTTTGATCATCTCTGCCAAAGTCAGCACAATCCTGGGACATAGGTGCGACTCAAAAACAAATTTTGACAGTTCAAATGTAAAATGCTACTCTGGTCTCAATTTCAGTTAGAGCCACATGAACAAGAGAAATCTAAATATTCTCCCACCAGAGAGTAAAGGCATCCCTGCACTTGCTTAGAATTTCTCCCTCTTTTCCACTTGGAGATCTCAAAGGTCTCACTTTTTACATTTCCATTCTGAATGGTGTGCGCACTCTCTCTCTCTAAGAATTTCTAGAGATAAAAACAAAGTCACAAGAAAAAAACCAAACAAATAGCTTTACCTTCAGCAATGGCAAAGAGGGATACAGAAGCCCTCCAATGAGTATTGCAGAAATTCTAGAGACCATTGGGACATGGCACCACCTCCCTGGGTGTCAGAAACCTGGATTCTATTCCTCACTTTCCCAAAGAATGCAGAAGACAGTCAAAAGACTTTTCTCTGGTACTCCCCATCTCCTCTGTTCACCAACCTTTCCTCTTGCATGCAGGAGGCAAAAGGGCTGAACACCAACTACAGGGACTTGGTCTCTATCTCTCATTCTCTCATTAACTTGCTAAATGACTTTGGGCAAATCATTCCGTCTGAGATTCGCCCATCTGTAAAACAAAAGGACTGGGTCTGAGACCTTAAACTTAATGACTGCCGCAAGCAACTTCCTGATTCACTGTATCTGACTCTGACCTTGTCCCTCCCGATGTGCGCACAGGCTCGAGGCTCCATATCAAATTTCACCTGTGCAGAGCTCTCTGCAGGGAGTCTCCTGTCCTTCTCTAACTCCTGGGGTCTGGAGTGGCGTCCTGGTTCCTGTGTCCTCACGCTGCACCGCCCCCCGCCCCGCACTCTGGCGGAAAGGGAATCTGCGTGGCCCCTTGACACCCCTCCTCCCCATCCTAGTGCCTCTTCTCTTCTCCAGAAAGAGGCTTTGCCTGACTAGCAAAGGCTTCATTTTTGAAGAAAAGATGCCAGTTAAGACAATTTTTGCCTCAGGAAGTAGCGCAAGAAATCCTGAGAGGCAGGCAACCAAGACAGGGTAAAACAAAACTGGAAAGAGACCCAAAGTGCGCCCCCCTGCCCCGTCATGGTTGCGCCCCCGTCTCATCCTGTCTCTCACGAGAGAGCCAGGCCCAAG